CTTGGCACAAATCATCAAATCAAAAAGAGTGTGAAGCGAAGTATTCCAAGCCCTAAAAGAAAATAACCTCCAGCCCAGATTGATGTACCCTGAAAAATTGTCCCTAGAAATTAATGGATAAACAAGATGATTCCAAGATGAAGAGGAATTGGAGGAATTTGCAACCACCAATCCAACTCTACAGAGAATACTGCAGGACATTCTAAAGAGAGAGAAAAGCACCAGGGTTTCAGGAACAGTGGCAGAGAGGCCCCAATGATTGGAGCAAAAAGCGAAATGAAGAAGACAAACAGATAACTAATGATGGAAAAAGAGCACAACAGAAATGAGGCAGAGAAGGTTGGATACAATTTCTAATATAGATGGCCTAGATACACTAAATTAAGGAAAAAAGAGAATTAGGCAGAGTGTATTAAGAGGTAGGGTCCACTGAGATACTCTTTATAGGAAATATAATTAACCTGAAGAAGGGTATATGGACCAAAAATCAAATATGAGAAAACAGAACTGTATGTGACAGGGAACCAGAGGGGCAACTGGACCAGTATTTATGGATAGGTTGGAAAGACAGGCTTTAATAGGTAAATAAATACAACTAGAGATCAAGCCCAGGAGTGAGAAAGTTCGGAAATGCTTAGGTAAATAACAGGTTGCTCCCCCAATATAAAACGGAGGGTGTTGGGGAGACCCAAAAATGCACAGTACACCCTGGGGGGAGTGAAAGAGGAGGAACAGTCTTAAAAAAGACAGCAGAAGATATTGCTAAAAGTGTATCAGGAATTAAAACCCATATTACTTGCACCACTCTGCTTAGATAGAATTTATTCCATCCCAGTTTGTATACAAGCACTACATCTGAGGGCACAGATAGCTATCCCAAAAATATCAGGATATAGCAGAGTAATCATCTTTAATTCCCTATTAACTTAATCTGGATCCCTGTATAACTTATGTTGTTATATCATGACTGATCATAGTTAAATCTGATTTGTTTGATTGCTGTTTGTAATTGACAGATTTTATTTAACACTGTTAAGGTTGATAGTATCAAGTCAGAGAGTATAGACAACTATACTGAAAATCACAATGATTCACTATGATACCTATTCTGGTTTGATTACTACCTGTTTTTGTAGTTCTACACTATCTACAAAGTTGTATTTCTATTAATACTGTTATATACTGATATATTCAATTATACTATATCTGATGATATAGCCAATTCTATTGATGATAACAAGAAATAACACAGTAACAATGGTAGAACTCTTTGTACAGCAGTTTTATATGTCTTCTTATTTTTATGTGTCTATAGGCATATGTTTTATTCTGTCCTGCTTTGTTTTGTTTCTCTCTCTAATATAGAAAGGATAGAAATACATGTTAAGACTCATGCTTGCATAAAATGTATAAACAGTTTATGCGAACTGATCCTATGACACATGGTGAAATGAACAAATACTTTGAAGGAAAAAAGGCATTACAGTACCCAGTGCTGTTTCCGGAGTGTCATGATGTGAAATTCAGCAGTGTTATTATTATTTGTTCAGAGTGATTTTAGTCTGCTATGGTTTGTTTAATCTCAACATAAATGAAGATATGGATAAATGTGTACATGGTTAAGTGTATAGGATTGATAACATATTACTAAGTTTTTATTAGATAGTTGAACGAACTATTTGCAGTCTCCCTGTTTGAACTGCCATTTATATGTCCCACTTTTGTACCTTGAACAATTATTTGTAAGAGGACAATATGTAAACATCATGTTTATTTTTTCCTTTGAAAGTATGTATTATTTCTACCCACTTTCTGCTTTGTTTTGTCTTTCTTTACATAAAATTTTAAAAAAAAGAAAATATATTGATGAACTTTACAAGCATATGTTCATTTGTAACCCAAAATATAGACCTTTTCTACCCGGCCCCCAGGTTACCGGGCAGCCCTTTCAACCTACTCCTTCCTATCACTGTAGATTATCACTGTTCAGTCAAAAAATATTTTTACTTATTGTTGAAATTCATGGAAGTGGAATCATACTCTCTAGTATCTAGCTGCTTTCGACCAAAATAATATCTGTGATGTTTATCCATGTTGTTGTATATTTCAACTATTCATTTCTTTATATTGGTGGTCAGCATTCTGTATATGAACAAACCACAGTTTATTCTTTTTGTTGTCATTCTGGTTATTCTGGTTATGAATAAAGTGCTGTGAATATTTTTGAACAGAGTCCATGAATTTAAATTTCATAATCCCATAAACTAGGTACTAATATTCACCCAGTTTTGTTAGTGAGGAAACTAAAGTACAGCAATGTGAGATAATTCTCCCTGAGACAACTTTTAACTGTTGTGCACAGAATTTTATCTGGTAGCATCTTAGTTACTTTTCTCATTGCTGGGATAAAATACCCAACTGTCAAAGACAAAGGAGGAAAAGTTTGTTTAGTTTACAGTTTGTAGAGGTTTCAGTTCATGACCGGCTGACTCCAAGGCCGGGTTGCATGGCAGGGGGACATCACACAAGAGAAATAGTTCATTGCAGACAGAAGGCAGAGGGTGGCAAGCTACAAGTAACAAGCCTCTTTCTCTTCCTTACATCTTATCTAGGCCACCCACACTAGCACTCACATCCTTAATCCAGCCACCTCCGAAAAGTCCTATGGCTGCATAAGGCTTTCTGGAAGTATCTAGATCCAAACCATGACAGTTCCTCTTTTATTCTATTCAGGCTACAAATCTATTTGTTGGTACCACCCACACCCAGGGTAGACCTTCCCCTTATCCATGCCCAAAACTAAACCAATCGGTGGACTAATTTAATTATCACACACCCTTAATCCATATTCACACACCCTAGATTCAGGCTCCTTCACAAAGCTCCAATTTTGAGCTCATGAGACTTTGGGAGACATCTAAATACAAACTATATCTAGCCCTAACCCTAGCCCTAGTCCTAACACTAAACCTGTCTCCAGCACGGGTCTCAGTCATTATATATTGTCTCTATATCTTTTATAGAAAGCGTTATAATATATTATCACATTTACATATAATATATGTTATGTAATCCAATTACTTTACCCTTGTAGAAATGAAAAGAATTGCCCTGAGTGTATGATCAAGTTAATTTAACACTCGCATCTTTGTTCTTCTCAACTTCCAGGTGTTTTTCAGAGCTTGGGATGCTAAGGTTATTTTTCATTCTTGATCCTGGATGATGCTAATGGAGGGAGGCGGACTGGGGAACAGCTGCTACATTATTAGTGTAGTGTGACAACACTCTTGGACTTCCCTCAACTCCAAATGTCAGTTTATTGTTGAAAAGAGAACAGTAATTATAGAAAATGAAATACAGATTTTCTATAAATAGCAATTTTAAAAATGTAATTATTAGTCTTTGTAATTACATTTCATACAAAAACAGGCAGGATTCTGAAATACTTTTGTCTGGATTTAAATCACAATTGATGCAAGTATAAATGTGCACATACTTTTGTGTATAAGTGTGTCTGTATAGATATAATTTTCTTAACATAAAAATATACTTTGCTACAAGTTTTTCTTTGTTTTTTTCCTGTACTGTGTGAAGACAAATAGGAACATTTGTATTTTCTAAGGTTCACACTGGAAATAAAATCAAAGTATAAAATTCAGATTTAGTGACAGTAAAATTAAAAATCTGTTAAGATTCATAGATTATAAAGATGACATTTTAACATGTCAGTAATTCTGAAAAAAATCTTAGTTTTTCTGAATATTCAAAAGGAAATAGTTTATTTCTTGTTATGATTTGTACAATTACATAATTAATTGTGGTGACCATAATACTGTGCTGATTTTTATGTATTTGGGAGGTGGTGGTAGTAGTGGGGAGGACCAAGTAGAAATTATAAATGAAGGAAATAAGATTCGTTTTTAATTACAAAACCAACACACACAGGTACTTGTTTCAACTAGGAATATGACACTTAAAAAGAAAGAATTGTGGAACTGAAAATGGGATTATAAATATGCAGGTTTCTAAGACTGAAGCTGATAATTAGTTATATATTACCTTTTAATTTTCCTCTGTTTATATTTTTTTGTGGTGCTGGAGATGGAGGCCGTGCGTGCTGTGACTGAGCTACATCCTCAGCCCTGCTTTATTCGTATAGCTATAAATGCCATTTTCCTCATTGCTTCCTGTTTCTGCCAACATCACTGAAGCAGTGGGTCTTCATTCAGTGGCAGCTCTGTTCTAGATCAGCAACTCATTTCCATTTTGCAGTTTTCCCAACTCTTACGGAAGCAGCCTCATCATTCCACCTCTAGACAGTGGCCAGTTGTCACCCAGCTGTCCTATAAGACATGGAGTGGTCCTGTCTCCACCCTTCTAAATTTTTACCGTTGACTACCTACTCTATCTTTTTCTCTACGGATTTTGTCTGAAATAGTTTTTGATATGCAGAATTTTAAAATATTTGCAGGTTAAACTTATCAGTTCATCCTCATCATTTTTTTCTTTGATCTTATGATTTGAAAACTGCTTTTGACCTGGAGGTAAAAGTCTTATCTGTGCTTTCTCTGCTACGTCATACAGCTTCATCTAGGTGAGTGGTTTCTCAACCTTTAAAACCTGAGATTCACTGTAAGAACATATTTTGCTTTGTCAGAGTATACACTTGTATATATTTAGGCAAAATTGAAATGAAACTTTCACAAAACATTATTTGTGATTTTATTACTTACAGAAGAGCCTATGAATTTCTAAGGTTCTTGAGTTCTGGCCAGAGGTATGTAACGACTGCTGCCTACAACTAAGAACTCTCCTTAAATGGAAGGGAGGACCTATTCTCTTCTCTTCCTTTTTCCTGCTGATTGAAATGTGGACAGAAGTGGAGAGAGGGACTCTTGGAGGAGGAGGGGGCTGCAGTGCAATCCCTGGCTCTGGACCAGTTTCTTTTCCAAATAAGAGGCCCAGAGGCTGTGGGGTGCACAGGGGGCTGTGAAGTGTCAGAAGCAGAGACCTAGGCTTCCTGGTATCAACCGTTTTCCAAGCTAGAAGGGAGAAAGGCAAAGATGGTGGAGGCTTTCTGTGCTACTTGGAAGCTGACGGACACTCAGAACTTTGACGAGTACATGAAGGCCCTAGGCCTGGGCTTTGCCACGAGGCAGGTGGGGAACGTGACCAAGCCCACAGTGATTATTAGTCAGGAGGCCGGCCGGGTGGTGATCAGGACCCAGTGCACGTTCAAGAACACGGAGATCAGCTTCTTTCTGGGGGAGGAGTTTGACGAAATCAGTGTGGACGACCGAAAGTGTAAGTCTGTTGTTAGCCTGGACGGAGGCAAACTTGTGCACATACAGAAATGGGACGGCAAGGAGATGAAGTTTGTGAGAGAAATTAAAGATGACAAAATGGTTAGGACTCTGACTTTTGGTGACGTTGTCTGTGTTCGCCAGTATGAGAAAGTGTAAGGAAATTCCTGGGTTGGGCTGGAGACGCCCTGGGATTATCCTCTCCATCACCTGCATCAACGGTGCTCAATGCTCGCTAAGGTGAAGGTCATCCCCAGGAGGAGGCAGAGAATGGGGACTGGAAAACGTGTAACAAACAGCTAGCTCAATTTCGATATGCAAGTTTATCGTGTTTTTAAAAATTTTATCACAATTTTTTAATAAAAAATGCATTTATGATTTCCTTTGGAATACAAATCAAATTGGAATAAAAATCTTACACACTCCAAAAAAAAAGAAGAAAGAAAAAAGAAATGTGGACAGAAAAGCTGGAGCAAGAGTAGCCTTCTGAAGCTTCTTGAAGGTATTGAGAATAAAACAAGATAGAAAGCAGTATGAGTGAAAACTTTCAAAGTACAGGCTCTTGATTTCTTCATTGTTTATATCTGAACTTTAATTTGAGATATTAAACTGTTATTTTGTATTTTTATTACTACTTCTAGCCACACTTAACTCTCACAAATATATCTTTGGTAGAGTTTATGCTACCTTACACTTCCACTAACTGTGTACGGGAATGCTTTTCTCTACTGCCTCACCATAAAGTTTGTCATCAAGCTTTTTTTTTTTTAATTTTAAAGAGGATAAAATCAAGGAAAGTAAAACAGAATAAAACCAAACAAAACAAACCATTGTAAGTGATACAGGTCTTCAAAACATTACAAAATCAACAATAGTTACCATAATGCCTTGTGATGTCTTCAAAATAGCTGCAGATACCTTTGGACATAGTAAAAACCAAACACAGGAGAATAGAAACAATAAAAACAAAACAATGAATGCAATAAAGGACTTTAAAACAAGACAATAGTAAATCCAAAATGGCTACCATAATATATCTTACTATCTCTGAAATAGCATGGTCATGATATAACAAAATCAAAGCAAAAGAGAATAAAATCTAACCCAACAAAACAATGAAAATGATACAAGACTTCAAAACAAGACAATAGGGAATCAGAAGAAATATCTCTTTAGATGTCATACTGCATACCACTATCCTCTGAACAGATGATCAGACCACTGGCCTTGACCTGCAAGATGAGTAAAACACCAAAGCACCACAATTAGCATTTCATCTTGGTAGCTATGATCACAGCCTGGGTATCTCTGGATCAGCTGGTTGCTTACAGAGTGGGGGTAGAGGGAGATAGGTTCTTGTTTGCCAGCCTGCATGCTGGAGGGGGATGGGGTCTGGCTGTGCCCCTGCCAGCGACTGCCCGTGCATGATGCTGGTTTGCTGAGGGGCTTGCTTGCTTCTTGGTGAGGCCTTGTTCTTTCCCTCCACAGTCTGTAAATGGCACTGACTCAGGGGAGAGGCTTGGGTATGGCTGTCTGCATACCAGTGGCTGCCTGCACACGGCAGTGGTTTGTAGAGGGGACCTTGTCTCCTGGTGAGTACTTGTTCTCTCCTCCTGCAGGTTGTGAATGTCACTGACTCACCAAGCTTTTTGATGCTGACCTTCTTGAAAGACATAAATCCTACTTTTAATTTGCATTTCTTTTGCTATAAATTACTGAACATCTTGATCTTAGCCAAAAGACCGAGAAGCGATTAAATTGAACATCTTTTAGTATGTGTAAAGGTAATTTCTTTTCCTTTTTCTATTAACTAGAAAATAAAATAAAAATAACTTCAGTTATTTTTTCTTTGTTTCTATTAATTTTTTGTATGTTAAGAAAACTGAATCCTTACTGGTGATATGAATTGCAAATATTTTTTTCCAGTTTGCTATTTACTTTTACTTTTTTTTTGTAATGCAGAAAAATCTTTAATGTTTTTAGGAAAGCTGATAGTCATATTTTTTTTTTGTCTTTTTCATTTTTCTCGGTACCAGGGATCGAACTCACGACCACCTGCTTGCAAGGCAGGTGCTTATGCCGCTGAGCTAAATCCCCAGCCCCTGATAGTCATATTTTTTAAAAAATTCCTTGGCATCTACATTTAAGTCAGAGTAGAAATCTCAAGACAAACAATAACTCATTCATCTTGTTATCTGGGACTTTTATGATTTTATTTTTAAAATTCATACCCTTGAATATAATATATGAAATGTGGATTTAACTTTACCTTTTTCCAAATGGCTATTTGTATAACTTATTTAGTTTTATATCATTGACATGACATACTGCCTTGATTATGTATTAAACTTTGTATTTATTTAGGTCTATTTCTAGTCATTGTACTTTTGTTCTATTGGTTTGTCAGTTCATATGCCAAAACCAAATTGAAATTATTGAGGTTTTATCATATGTTTCTACAACTAATAGTTTTGGTTTTCCTTCATTTCTTCAGTTATGCAAAGTTTTCTTGAGTATTCTGGCTTATTTAATTTTTATATATAATTTTGACTTTGCCATAGGTCTAGGAAAAAAACCTTGTTGATATTGGGATCTTATTCAACCATTTTGTGTTAGAATGTTGAATATTGTAATCCAGTCCAAAAATTTTTGTTTGTTTTGATTGCTATTTTAAATGGGGCTCCTTTTCATTTTATCTTCTGACACATTGTTTGTATACATGAAGCCTGTTGATTTCTGAATATTAAATTTAAACCTCTGTGTTCTTTCAAAATTCTCTTAATTTAAGGTTTATAGTAACTTTTAGGGGTTTTTTTCTGGTATACAAACATGTTTCCAAATGGAGATTATTTTACTTTTTCATTGCCAGTTCTTATGTCTTAGGTTGATTTTGTGGTGTACCGATGTGTTTGTACTTCTGATCTGGCTGGTCTCCTTCCTTTGTATCTGTTTTTTAAGACTGGATTGACAGGCTTTCTGACTATTCTGTATGTTACCCAATATCTTTTCAGTAAATTCCTTTCATGTAAAAGTCAGAACCGGTTTCCTATTACTTTATTTCAGAAGCTTGAATAAAAGTTCATTTTGCACAAAGGCACCTCACTGATACAGCACTGATAATGATACTTGTCACTTACTAAGGGCCTACAGTAGGCCACACAGTATGCCAGGTTGTCTGTATACTCTGTATCATATCAGTTCCTAGAACATGTGCTTTGAATTTTCGTTTCTGGTATAGCATCAAATTCGAAGTGGTCCTTTTCAGCTTTCTCCAGAGACTCTACATTTCCTACTTGCAGCAGCTCTAAAATATAAATGCCAGTTTAATATGTGTGCCCTTTTATCATATGCCTTGATATTTTATTAGGTTAACCTGGTTTCAGTTTTTCTTTTTGTCGTTGTGTTTCCTTATTCCCAAAGCAATTGTTAACTGGGAGTTTTGACAGAAAACATCTTAATGAGAAGCTTCAAAGATTCTGCAGATTCTCCAGAAGTAAGTTCCTCAACCTAGAATTTCATGATGCTTCTAAGCATAGAGAGAAAGGACAAAGGTGCTCAGAATATGAACTGTAGAAATTTACAGAGATCTTTGTGGCTACTGTGGGCTGAACTGTGTCCCACGGAAAGATTCACTGAAGTTCTAACCCCTACTACCTTACAAAGTGGTCTTATTGGGAAATAAAGTCTTTACAGATGTGATCAAGATAAAATGAAGCCATTAGGGCATAATTAGTCCAATATGACTGATGTCTTTATAAAAAGAAGAAAAGGGGCATGGACATAGACATGCCTGAGGGAAAAATGTGAAGCGACAGAGAGAACAGCATCTGCCACCAACATCTAACCCAGAAGCTCACAGAGAAACATTCTTCTTCAGAACCCTCCGGGAAGTCAGCTCTGCAGATACCTTGGCTTGGGGTTTCCCAGGCCTCCAGAGCTGAAAGCCCATACATTTCCATTACTTATTTGCAGGGGAGGGTATACCGGGAATCCGACTCAGGACCTTGTGTTACCAGGCAGGTGCTGCACCACTGAGCTACATTCCTGGTCCCACATTTCTGTTATCTTAACCCTTGAGACATAAGACTAATTTTGTCATCAAGACACATAAGCTTAGGTCTGTCAGATCCATGTTTATTCTTTGGAATATTTCTGTTGATAAATTATTAATTTTATTAAACAATGGATACTTAACAGGAAAAAAGCACAAAAATAAAGTATTGTGTTTTTAATATTTATTGTTTATAAAAAAGTATACAAATTTTCAAATATTGACTGTTTTTTGGTGTACTAAGTCTAAAAAAGAACTACACAAATCCTTATATGGATTACAATGAAAATACCAATGGCACTTTACAAAAAAACTTTACTTCAGTTATCACCCAAGGCAGTCTGCACACATGACAATAGCACATTCAATACACACGCATCACTTACACTGACAGCACATGTCTTTTGCTTTCCTGGCCTTTTTGTAGAATGTACTTAACATGTCAGTGTTCTTGCTGCTTTGCCAGGAGGTTCTTATCATATTGTATAGTGTGTGGTTAACAGGAACATAAATATCAACAAAATAGAATATCAAATTCTTAATATGTATTGTACATTTAGAATGAATATCAACATTTTCACATATGTTATATAACTTGCTCACAAAACCTAAATAACATCAGAAATAAAAACCTATGTGAACTAGGATGTAAACACAAACAAAAGTCTACCATAGAAATAAGATTTGCTTCAACTGTTACATCCAAGGCAGTCTTCACACATAACGACTACATGTTCCATGCACATGTCTTGCTTCTACTGACTGCACGTGTGCTTGGCTTTACCTTCCTATGCGACTCTGCTGTCACCTCTCATTCTGTCTTTTCAGGAGCTTCCTATCTTCTGTTTTTTCAGGAGCATGCACATGGTAGGGTAATAAGAATAAAATAAAATATCAAATATGTAATGAGTGCTTGGAGTAGCCATCAACATTTTCATATCAGCTATTTATTTGCTTACACAGCCTAAAAGATAACATCAAAAATAAAAACTTTCATGAACTACGATGTAAACAGAAACAAAAGTCTACCACAGAAATAATCTTTTTTTCAAGTGTCACACCCAAGGCAGTTTTCACACATGATAACTTCAAGTTCCATATAAATATCACTTGCACTGAGAGCATATATGTTTTATTTTTCTGTCCTTTCTTGTAGGGCACAGTTGACATCT